GATTTCAAAGCGTAAATGTGAATTTAGTTTTATGAAAGAACGTAGAGATCAATTTATGTTTAATAAAAGAGTATGAAATTTAAGGTATGTTAACATAATTTTTATCTCTTTTTAATTGAAAATAGTTATATTTATATTGCATAGTTATATATTTGTTTTTGCACAAGTGACATATTGGAGCATCTTCTCATAATGTGCAACTTAGGTGGTTTGTGATGTTATAAGATATTTAATCAAATGTTATTTCTTGTCTTCATTTTAGTTATGACTATGCTACATATTTATTAAATAGACGAACCTTTATAATTAAAGTTAATATTTGATATTTTAGGATGCATATATTTAAATAGAATAAAATTATTTTGAACATAGCATATTAAAATAATTTTGTTTGTCAATAATTTTTGCCCCCCCAAGGAAAAAATCTTGATTTCATCACTGCCTATGAGGAAATTGGGGCCTATTGCTAACAAAAGATTGTGAAAATTTACCTTTATACCCTAATTATTTGGAAAATTCTAATGAACAAATTTTGCAAAAGAAACCTTGTTTCTTGTCAACAAATTAAGTAACTAATAAAACCACCTGTAATGTTGCTTTCACATATTTAAAATTTGTTAAATACAAAATCTGCCAGTTTCCCTTTCGTAAATATATAAGTGTAACACTTTTTCAATTTTACTTACAAACATTTATGTATTTTACATAAATGTAATGATTCAAAGTAAAATATGCCCATAATAAATAGCTAGTATTTTGTTAATGTAATGCAAAAAACCCATAAGAGCTAGTATGTTATGGGTAATATCTTTTTTACTTTCACATATTTAAAATTTGTTAAATACAAAATCTACCAGTTTCCCTTTCGTAAAAATATAAGTGTAACACTTTTTCAATTTTAGTTACAAACATTTATGTATTTTACATAAATGTAATGATTCAGAGTAAAATATCCATAAATAACTAGTATTTTGTTGATGTAATGCAAAAAAATCATAAAGAGCAGGTATGTTATGGGCAATATGTTTTTTACTTTCACAAAAATCAGTTTATGTTAAATACCACCTGCATGGCTGTGTTTAGTACTGCTTACGCTTCCTCTTCGGTGTTTTATCCTAAGCCTATCATATTTATGTGAATTTCCTCACACCCCAATACATTTCCACCTTCCGCAGTACGCCTCACGGTCATTGGGCCCATCAACATTTTCAAACTGCCCGCGCCTGTTATAGGTCAATACTTGTTTTTAAGAAATATTACCTTCATCCTCCATACATGTGAGCTTCCAACGTGCCTGACCTTTCCACACCTGTCTTTTATTAGTTGAATACACTACAGAATTTACCTTACTTATTAGGTTATTTCTTATCTTTTGCTTTTGGTCGGCCGCAACAGAGAGCAATGGACGACTTTTGTTTTCTTTTACTGTTCATCTCAATTGTAGGATAATGCTTCCAACAATTAATTCTACAATTTTGCGTGAAATTTCTACAAAAGAGATGAACTAAATTTCCACTTCTAGTCAAGGAACAACGGAGGACTTAATTCGTTTGAAATTGTGAGATCGAATTATTTTTATTTATTTCTTTTATTTACTAGTATTTGTATATTCTTTGATTTTATTTCTTATGGTTTTATATTAATTGAATATCCAAGGTCCGAAATTTAGATTAATTTAATAGTCTATAGCCAATTATAGCGTTAAATCCGTAATTGTTTAATTGCTTTAAAATAGTTTTAAAATAGTGGTAACTGGCATAATTGAATTTGTGTCAGAGGAGTATACGGGCTAATTTAAAATAACCCTCGTAGCATATTATTTGATTAAAATAGAGTTTCTCTAGTTCGCAAGGCAATTGAAAAATTGAATTCGACGGTCGTAACTATAATTATTTCTCGATTAGAATAGTGATTAACGGTTATATCTTGATCATCGATACAGTAAGGAGAAGTTGATTGTCATCACTTGTTTGGCAGTTATAACTTCTTTTTCAGTTGATAATCGAAATTATCTTTGTATCAATGATCAATTGAGTGAACTATTTCCAAAGTTATTCCTGCCCTGGCTAAAGTTTATCTATCATCAATTCAATTTTAATAAATTGTCATTCAGTTTTTTTATTTGTTTATTTATCTTTACTCTCATTTAAGCTATTTAGTTATCTCCAATCTTATAAACATCCCCCAAACTTTGAACTCAAGAGGAAACGAATTTCCCCAGTCCCTATGGATTCGACCCTACTTACCATTATATACAAAATTTGTATATTTTTCAAGCAGGTATTTATTATTGCACAGACTCGACAACCTGTCATTTGTCATATTAGACTTTTTTTTCAAAAAAAATAATAGTAAATTTTGTTTTTACTGACAGTGCATATATTATCACGATTAGATGTACAATATATATGCAAAATTTGTGCTGCAAATTTAAATTTAAATTATGTGTCATACATTCAATAGTGAAAGTGTATACACTATGAGTGTATAAAAAATTAATCCAAAAAATAATTAAAAAATCCCAAGTGATTGAACGAATCTAGCTCCTAATTCTGTTTTCTTGTTACTTTTGAATTTTTAAAATGATATGTAAATCATATAGATCCGCATGAGATCCATTTGTTTTCCTTTTGAGGATAGAAAAACACAATTTTGTGTAGAAAGTAGAAACTTTGTTGGTTTTTTAGGGTATAAACTAAGAAATAACATCTTAATGTTGCAAAAAAAAAAAAAGATCTATATTGAAACTACAAATAAACTTTCGTTATTCATTCATCAACACACTATTTATAGTGATTATGTGAAATAAATCAACAAAATATCCAACTAACAATTATCCTAAAAATCTCAACAAAGCACTTGATAACATAATTTCCTATTCAGTAAATCTTAGTTAAACTATTTGTTAACAAACCATATGATTTTTTTGGTTAACAAATATCCTAACAAGACTTATTCTTTTACTAACTAAATTATTCTGGTATCAAACGCAATCTAGTTAAATCTGTAGAAAAAATTGACATATCTCAATACTCTTCCTTGCCACTTTTGTTATCTCCTCAAATTTTTGAATCTTGTTTTGGACAAGACTTTTGTAAAAACTCTGCAATTGATGATTAGTCTTGCAATGAACTTCTTATTTTGGATTTTTATGCAAGTTAAAGATTATTCTTGCAACAAACCACTTCTTTTGTCTTCTCATGCCAAACTCCAAATAAATGATGGCTTTCTTTTTTTTTATTTTATATTTCCAAATAACCGTCTCATAGGTTCAAAGTGAAACACCCTTCAACCAATATTTGAACTTGTACAAAAATATGAAATTCTACATGGTTTTTCATTTTGTCATCATCATCAAAACATGTAGAGTCAAAAATAGCAACATTATAATCTTGATAAATATCAGGAATCAATTTGATACCTTCTAACTTATCAATAATCTTCTCTAAAATTTTTTCAAGATCTGAATTCTTGATTTCATCATACTCCATATTAGAATTGTCAAAATTCGATCAATTTATAGTGAAACTTTTGCTTTTCATTTTAACTGAGAATGGTTTATTCTCAATCAAATCATAAGTCATTATCCTTGTTAAAATGACATCAAAAAATGATATGTGAACACTGGCCTTCGATATCTGTCTAACTGCAACTCTGTGATTTCTAATCTGTGTATCCATCGATTCTTCAAATACCGGCGAAACAAAATTTTTCTCTACCATATCCTATAGATCATTGACTACTAAATAAGTCCAATGTCCATATCCCGTAGATCATTGGCAAAAAAAATAAGTCCAATGTTTAATAGCCCAAATTTGGTAAATTTCACCACTAAAAGTTGAAACACTTAATAAGAGGTTCCTTTTTTATCATGGTTTTAAACTTATAAAGGATTCTAACCGAATGCAGTCATTCTAAAAAACAACACAAGTTTTAAGACGTAGGCTCTGATATCACTTTGTTGGTTTTTTAGGACATAAACTGAAAATCAACACCTTAATGTTGCAAAAAAAAAAAAAAAAGCTTACAAAAGATTTGTATTGAAACTGAAAATAAACTTTTGTTATTCATTTATCAACTCACTATTTATAGTAATTACATGAAATAAACTAAAAAAATATCTAGTTAACAATTATCCTTATAAATTTCAACAAAACACTTAATAACATAATCTCCTATTCAGCAAATCTTAGCTAAAATGTTTGTTAACAAACCATATGATTTTTTGGTTAACAAATATCCTAACAAGGCTTAATATTCTACTAACTAAATTATTCTGGTATCAACACAATCTAGTAAAATATGTAAGACAAGTTAGCACATATCAACAAACCCTTTAAATATTCATTGCAATTTTGTTGCCATCAAGTGTATTTTTGATATTCATTAGTTATCTACCGTTGGAATATACTTATCAATAAGCAAACGATATACACTCCATTTCCAAGGGACAATAATGCTTCCTACCTGCTTTGCCAAAAAATGCAAAATTGTTGTCCAAAACAAGCTGCTCCATTTTTCTTTTTCATTCTTCTCTTCATGCTAATCATGGCTGATTTTCAGAAAATTGAGAGAGATGCCATCTTAAACAAGAAAGATTAAGACTCAAATTCCCTCCACAATATAATGCTAGATTACATGCGCAAGAGATGAACGCTAAATCATACAAATGAAATGACTGTAGCAGGGCTTGAGCAAAACTTAGCATAAAAGTTCCTGGAATAACACGGCCAATAACAAGCTTTAAGAAATAACTCCAGCCAGGTAATTCGTACAGATTACTCGGTTGGAACCTTTGGTGGTGGTGTATTAGAAAACCTCCATTCAGTATGAAAGAAAGCCTCATTGATGCTTAGCCCTGCCACCTCACTGGGGGGAACTGCATCAGCAATATCTTTCAGATCTTCTTTTGTGAGTTTCACTTTCACTGAACCAATGTTATCATGGAGATTCTTTATCTTAGTAGTACCTGCAAAGACAATTATGAAAACCAAAATTGATTTGTTATAAAAGCAACAGAGTGGCACAAATTATAAACTAAAATAGCTCAAATAAGAATCTGCACTTGCATTACGATAAGGTGTTTGCAGGCTCCAGCTGAACTCTGATGGTTTACCAGCTTATATATTTGTCACTTTGGCCATGTAAACTAATTTTAAGGTCTTATGTATAGGATAGCATTTATTGTTCCAGAAGGGATAAAAAGATACTGATGTTTATTTACAATATAAGGTAACCAAACTCCAAGTCCAGGGAACTATGGGCAGCTCATCTTACTTTCAACAACAGAAAAACATGGCCTAGGAGAACAGTTAGTTGATCTCACATTCTACTCGAATCAAATTGGAATCGTCCAGTTAAATGTAGAACTTTGGAAGGTTGAAACACATGAATAATGTGAGAATTGATTCCCTTTGTCAATGAATTTATCAAAAAGCACTTCCAACAAGTGCCATTCAAGGTATATTTACTAACTTCAGGAGAAAGGATAGAAGCATATTTACACTATACCTCTAGGATTGATAGCTATAATTGCTCAGCGGATTCGTTCAACATGGTTCAACTTTGGCTTGTGAAAGTCTGGAACTCAATTTACTTTTATTATAAAAAGAGGCACTTTCACGAACCCATGAACATGCTTAACTGTGATTACAACAAGGAGAGGAAGGAAAAAAGAACACATAAAAGGAACTGAAGCAACCAGACATGCATGAAAGCCAAATAATCATAAGGGCTAGATGATTGATATCACAGAAAGCAATAAAATGCTATCTGCAATTTCAAAGGCAAGTAGAACTGATCACACAGACTATTTCACTTACTTCCTGTGAAATCAGTGGAATTTTCTTAGAAGAAAACAATGTCATACTCAAGCTTCTTCTATGCTGAATTACTGGAATCTGTGTTTGTATTACTTCTGTTGGAACATCAGTTCTACAAAAAAACCAAGGCTGAGTATTCATTTCAGATTTATATCTTCTATTTGACTAATGACGATCTTCTTTCTGCTCCTTTATTATATGCTCAAATTGTACAAGTCCAAGATTCTTGAGTATTAAAAGAATCATTCATGAGAAAGGGGTCATCGTACATTTGATCCTTTGGCTCTCAAAATACATGCAAAGACACAATCAATTAATTTCCACTCAGTTATAATCTCAAATACATGTTATGTTTCCCATATAGTGTCAACCAAATATATGTGGCTCAGTTTTTTATATCTGCACACGACACTTGCATTCTACTAGCAAACGAAACAATTGGATTTACAGTTACTTACCAGGAATTGGTACCATATCATCACCCTGATGAAGAACCCAAGCAAGAGCAAGTTGAGCAGGAGTACATTTGTGTTTCTGTGCTAATGCTTGTAAACGGAAATAAATGTTCTTGTTCTTTTCGAGGTTTTCCCCCATAAACCTAGGAAGTCCTCCCTGATCAAAATGTTATTCATTTCTGAAGGGAACTTGTTCTAGAAAAGGATATGAGTGACAATAAACCAAGTTTAGATCATGAAACTCTGAGTGTGATCTAAAGAAAGCCAACTTTAAAATCTATCCCTACCAAGAAACTACTTTGAGGCAAGCTCTCAACAACTGCTTTGCCAGCCAAAAAGCCACGACCAATAGGACTGTAGGGAACAATCCCAATTCTGAGCTCCCTAATTATCCACAATGAAACAGAGTTACTAAAGTGGGGGCAACATACAAGCCATGAGAAGACACACCTAAGAGAAAGAGAAGGAAATATATAACCATGAAATTCATAGAGCAGGAAATTGTTAAATAGGGGATTAAATTGGTAACATAACATGTACAGAATGAGGAATCATTATGTCTAAAGTCAATATGATGGACAGTCAGACATATCCCTTGTTAAATTCTGTAAAGCTTGAACTATGTAAAAGAATGACTTTAGTCAAGCTTCTAGTAGGCTACCTCTGGTAATTTCTTATCTAATTCACCTAAGAAGGATTTTTGCATATGGCATCCATCAAAGACAGGGAAATTTTTACTGAAATACATTGTCCTGGCGTTACAAACTCATAGCCTGAGGTGCATTAGTCTGTTTGTGCAGGGAAACACTAGTCTAGATTGCTTTTCTATCACGGTGACTTCTTTTAGGAAGGCTTTTCACTAAGTCCAAGCTATGTGCTTGAGGAGTCATCATTCAGGAAGATCATTGTGAATTTTCTCATGCAGCAGCAGAAAATAGTAATCACCAGTTCTTCTACCATACTTCTGAGGTTCGGAAAGGGATTCAAGCTATGCAAACTATATGTAGAGAAACAGCTGTAAGTGCTGCTCTGAACTAGCTCGGCTTTGTGATCATTGTGATCACCTTAAGTACTTTAAGGGGCTGTTCTACATAAGCATTGTAGCTATTCTATACCATAATTGGCTAGCTTGAATTAGAGAATCTTCAAGAAGTTAGTATAGCCTACTGATGTTGAGCTTACAGAATTGTCGGTGATGTCGAGGGTGCTGTATCAAGTTGGAAAGGTGAGAAAAGAAGCACAGAGAATTGGGAATTTAGACCAAAAAATGTGTGAAAATATAGGTTAACCGCTGTGTTTAGCTGATGAACTCTAGTTGGTTTTCAGCTTGTATACAATTGCATGCAAATATAAATGAAGATCCACTACATTACTTTTAAAAAACAAAAAACAATAAGATTCTAGCAGGCTCATGCATGGATCTTGTATGGAATAAAGCAACCTGCATAGAGGAATTATCTCTTCCTCAATATCGCGTGTCCATAGAGAATACTCAATCTGTAAAGCAGTTACTGGATGAACTGCATGAGCCCTTCTTATTGTGTCTGGGCTAGCTTCAGATAGTCCAATGTACTTTATTTTTCCTTCTTCAACTAGTTTCTTCAGTTCACCCATCTGCAACATCCACAGCATCAAAACTTTCTTTAATGCAGCATTCAATTTTAACACCACATAGTCTATGTTACGGAAATTATTTCTTCGTTATTGCTTTTATGGAGATGAGTTTTGTCATACATTTTAACTAATTTAGGTCAACGTGTCTAAATTTAGACCTATGAGTGAGCCAGATGATCTTTCGGTTCAAGGTTCAACTCTGGATCAACATGTAACTTTTTTAATTATTACAAAAAGTGACAACTGGTTCAACTATCCAGGTTTTATCGGTTTTTATTAGCTCAACTGGTCTTTGGCCAAGTTTGACTGAATTTTATAGTAATTTTATGGATGGGAGCAGTCCATCGCCGAGGGATCCTTCTGGGAATTTCGGGATCCTCCTGGGAATTTTGGGATCCTCCTGTCCTTTGGTAGTACGGATGAAGTGACCCAAGACAACCTCTTTGATGCTCTAGAGGCTCAAAAGGCGCCAGCACCACCTGAAGTTGCCCACAACTGGACCTATTTCGTGGCAAATTCGTGGTTTGATCGGTTAAACCATCCTGTCCAATCTGGTTTCACAAACCAGATTTTACAGATTGACCTTGGTAGCTCCTTAAAAAGAATGAATACTATTTTGATCCATTGTATTGCCTCATTTAGTTAAGATCCTGAGTGCAAATTGTGTGCATATACTTTCTTTTCTAATGTGCAATGCTTGCATGGCACTCTCTGTTTGATTTTGGTAAACGCCGAATTTGACCATTTCACTGCCTAATAAAGCTTATTAATCAGTTCATTAACTGATTAGTTAGATTGATTTTGGAGTTCCATCACCTAACTTGTGAGTTATGATCTCTTATTCCCTTTTCCCCCCTTAATAAAGCTAGGCAATTTCAGGATGTCTTCTATGTTATGCAAAAGAAAGGGCACTGGCAAGAAAACAAAAGAATCATGACTTACTGTTTCTTCAATAGGCACTGTTGTGTCAATTCGATGGATGAAATAAAGATCAATGTAGTCCACATCTAGGCGTTTGAGGCTACCTTCACAGCATGAGTGGGCATATTCCGGAGTACCTTTGACTATAACACGATCGTGACTATAATCGACTATACCGAACTTCGTTGCTAATTGAATCTTTTCTCGGGGTAACTGCTTCAATGCCTGCAATATAATAGTTTTTTGATCACTATAGAATTAAATGGAAACAAATGATTTTTTTTTTTTGGTAATGTTTCTATGCAATGATCATAATGATTTAATAACTTGTAATTTATTTATTTTTTGGCACTAAAGGGAAAGGTAATTCCATTCTAATGATAGAATAGATGTGTACATTTTTCAGTGGCTTAAAGTACTTTTCTAATTGCCTACCAACGGAAGTGATGGTGGTGGAAATTAAATCCAAGCTTTCCCTTACTAGTGGAGCAAACCTTGACTCCAAATTCAATCATCTATTAACCAATATGCAAAATTAGCATAATTATAATTACCTTTCCGATCAAGTATTCATTAGCATTGTCAATCCCATAACAATCTGAGGTATCAAAAAATGTAACTCCCTTATTGAAGGCTTCCTTAAGAAGTGCAATTCCGTCTTCTTCAGGGACTGGATCATTGAGAATTCCAGAAAGCCCCATGCATCCAAAACCTAATTTTGAAACCTAAAAATGAAAAAGAAAATTAATATAATTTGGAAAGTGGGACAACTACCGACAAATTCAATAGGCCTGTTCAAGTTTTAGCCAGCTTCACAAGGACAAAATGAATTAATTTCAACACATCTACCACCAACTGACTAGTACTATGCCTGATAACTCTTTTTGATTGAAAACAATGGTCCAGAAAGATCTACTGGATTTACATTGGAGTATTATTTTCTGAACATATTAGCCCCAAACACAGTGAATTACATCTTTAGAGTTTTATGTAATGAAATTGATGAGCAATTATGTCAGTCCCAATCAACATGTAATACCAGATGAGGGGCCTTTGTAAAATTGCATATGCAATTACAGAGTGCAAATCACTGTATGAACTGAGTTGTTTTGAAGCTCAATTCTTGTAATCAAATTTAAAACACAATTCCTACAAACTGCGGGTGTACATTTGTTATGCTAGTAAATACACTTGTTGTGAGTATCCATATACTTGTAAATTTTTTTTCCACATACTTGTAATTTAGAAGCCTCTAATCCCAAATATGGAAAGAAATTTTTTCCAAAACAGAGCACATTTGGATTAGTTTTAATTAGGTTGTTTTCTAAAACATGGCCCAAAAACTCACACCCAACCACCGCATTTTGCCATAAAATCAAAGGAGGCAATTTTCCCAAAAAATTGAAACACTTCTCTTTTTATCCTTTTTCCTAATTGTTCTTCAAGAAAATACAACCCCGGATCATTTCCCCACTTTCCCAATCTTAAAAAAGAACAGAAAAGGAAAAAAAAAAAAAGGCAACGAATAGAAAGAAATGAAAAAAGTGAAAGAGAAAGCTCGAATACAGCTCACAGAAAACAAACATGGCAGTGTAAATAGCTCAACTCAATTCTGCTAAAATGTCGTCCCAAGAAAGCAGAGAAAAATTCAAAGAACCAAAGGGATATGCAGAAAGGAGAGAAATTTCAACTCTTTCTCATTGTTTTCGTGAATCATCACAAAATTACCTCAAGTCCTTGGCTGCCCAGCCTCACTATTGGAATTTCTACTTGCTCATCCATTGCTATCAGCTGCAGTTGCAGTCGATGAAGTAATAAGGGGAAGAGAATAGATTCTCGTTTATGCTCTCTAGCACTTGGAAGTTGGAAGTGAGTTAAGGAAAGGGATAATTTCAAAAACCTCTCTAGATAGGGCAGAAAGATCCAATCAGACCGTTGAAACAATTACTACAATAAAGTATTGAAGCAGGCCCCTGGTCTAGATCCCTCCTAAAAGTGAGAGTTTCTCTCTCTGGGTAAGAGCGCGAGTCTCTCTTTTTTGAGAGTTCAAAATTTTTTCAAAATTTTCCGCAAACTTTTACACTCAATCTCAAGAATCAGACAAAGATCAACAACCTTATTGCTGATGAAATTAAGAAGATCGGTCTCTAAGTGGTGAAATAGCTAAAGCCGAACATCTTGGAAAGATTCTAGCTCCCCATTAGGGGGACAGTTTTCACTATAAAGATTCCAGCTCAACGTCGGAAAGTGTCTGCAAGCAGAAGATAGCTCGGTAATTCTGGTTCAAGGAAACAGACTCCATGGAAGAAGCTAGGGTGCTGACAGGTATCCTCACAGCCATATTTTCCATGGTTCACTCTTGCTTTTGTTACTTTTCTCTTTAAAAAAGTTTTTGGGGTTTACCCCGATCAATCTCTGTTTTCAGGTTGTTTAGGATTTTAAGGTTAAAAGTTATGGTTTTTCCTCTTTTTTGAGTAGTCTGGTTTTTTTCTGTTTAGAGTCTTTCTTTTCTTTTAGAACATCTTTGTCTGCCGAGGTAGGAGTCGTTTCTGCTTTCCTTAGGCTTTGGCCGTCTTGCCTTGGTTTTCTCAGTAGTGGAAGTAGGTTGTGTTTGGAATCCGTTTAAACCCCATGGCGGAGGAACTAGCAGATGCGATAAGGAAATTTGCTCTTTCTGACAAAGAGCTGGAGGGAACTGACCTGGGAGGAGAAGAGATAGACAGAGGTATTCAAGAATGTCAGTTAAGCTTAGTGGGGAGGATCAAAGGTGAGAAAGTGGTGAATTTTGTTGGAGTTAAGAACTTTGTGAACTCAGCTTGGGGGTATCCAAGGAATCTTAGGATTATAGAGCTGGGTCCAAATATGTTTCAGTTTTATGTACCAAGCAGGTAGGATAGAGACTGGATAGTAGGGGGAGGACCTTGGGTCATGGACAACCAAATTCTGGTGATAAAACACTGGTTTGAAGGTATTGAGGATGACTCTTCTGCTTTTGATCTTGCACCTCTTTGGGTTCAAGTCTGGAATCTACCTGTGCACTGGATAACAAAAGAAGCAGGATGGAAAATTGGAGCGGTATTTCATGAAGTAAAGGATGTTGTGGTGCCTCAAGTAGGAGTAAAGGAAGGTAGACATCTAAAGTTATTAGTGGTTCTGGATACCTCCCTACCTCTCTTAAGGGGAACGACAGTTAAAGTAAATGGAATCCTGAGATGGTTGAACTTCAGATTTGAGAGGTGCCCAGACTTCTGTTACAAATGTGGAGTGATTGGACATGGTGAAAAGAAATGCAAGGAAGTAATACAGGTAAGCAAAGGGAAGCAGGAACACCAGTATGGCCCTTGGATGAGAGCCAACGTAGGAAAAACATCACCCCAAAAGGAACAACAGAATAAGTATAACTCTGAGATGAATTATTGGGGCTTTAGAGATGGAGAGATGGTACGGTTAAATCCTAAGGCTAAGGAAAATATGGAACATAGTCATAAGGACTCTATGTCAGGAAGGAAGGATGAAACTAGGAAGTGTAATGATGGAAATATGACAGGCAAGGAGAAGTCCAAAAAGGATGAATCGCGGGAGGTTCAGCAACTAAGAGGTGAGGCTAGCAGTAAAGAATTGGAAAGTAAAAGCTTAATCCAAAATAGCTGGAACAGTCAGAAGGAGAGCTCTACCACAGAAGCTACAGAAACTCTCCCTAGGGGGATCAGTAAATGTGTATTAGAGGAAGCAAGTTTGAGTATCCCAGTGGAGGTAGAGATAAATGGTAAGAACAAAGGTGCAGTGGAAAGAAACGGGCTTGAACAAATAGCACAAGAGCTTATGCAAGTCACAGTAATGGAGGATGATTCTGGCAGCCCTGAAACAGCTTTAATGCTAATTGATCCAGGAAGTTCTGAGCTGGGTACTATGGCTGCCCAGAAACATAACAGGAAAATGAAGAAGCAGTTGAGATCTCCCAAAATCTCTCGTCAGCCTTTGAGGGACCTGAGTGGGAACAGGATATTGGCTATTCAACAAGGAAAAAGGAAACTTAATTTGATAGATGAGGAAATGGTGGAAGTGCAGGTAACGGAGATTGCTCACAAGAGAAACAAACTGGGAGATGGGGAAGTGAATCCTGCAGAGAAACAAGAGGGGGAAGGGGCCAACCTTAACTGGCCCCTCAAGTTTCGATGAAGGTTCTGGTGTGGAACTGCCAAGGAGCAGGGAGCCCCTTGACAGTTCCCCAGTTGAGGGAGGCTAATAACCTCCTCTCCCCAAATATTATTTTTCTGAGTGAAACCAAAAATAGGTATAATTACATGAAAAGGGTCCAAAAAATTCTGAGGTTTGAGGAAAGTGTGATTGTGGAAGCTATGGATAGAAAAGAAGGTATGGCTTTGTTTTGGAATAAAGATATTGAGGTCAGGGAAGTAGTTACAACTGCTCTCACTATAGAGGCATTGGTTTTTGATCCGGAGGTGCAGATTGACTGGTGGTTTATTGGTGTATATATGAGCTGTGATGCTAATATTAGGAAACAACAGTGGAAAGTCTTGACTGCGAGACGACAGTTGTGGGGAGATAAATGGCTTCTGGCAGGGGACTTCAATGATATATTAACTAATGAAGAGAAGTGGGGAGGTAATGCAAGAGCAGAGAGGAGTTTCAAGGAGTTTAACAGCTTTATTGAATATAACAATCTTGTGGATATAGGTTTTACTGGTAATCCCTGGACATGGAGCAGCAATTGGGATGGTGAAGGGGAGATTAGGCAAAGACTGGACAGAGGATTAAGTACCATTAACTGGAGCCAATTTTTTGACAAGGCTAAATGTGAACACGTGGAAACTGTTGGGTCAGACCACAGCATGCTGCTCATAGATAATTGGCCTAGAATGGATAAAAAAAGATCAAGATTCTTTTTTGACAAGAGATGGCTCAAGAGGGAAGGGATCAGTCAAGTGGTTGAGCAAGCTTGGAAACAAACAGTGGAAGGAAATAGGATGTATAGGATTACAAGGCAGATTGCTAACTGCAGAGTGGCTCTACTCAAATGAAAGAACAATTTCACAGGAAATTCTTTGCTAAAAATCAATCAAGTGAAGCAACAGATTAAGGAGATTAAGGAATCTAAGGAATCAGGAGTTAAAGATAAAATCTCAGAGTTAAAAATTCAGTTAAAAGAGGCCTACACAGAAGAAGAGCAGTTTTGGGCTCAAAAAGCAAGGATTGATTGGCTGAGAGAAGGGGATAAGAACACAAAATTTTTTCATGCTTGTGTGAAGGGGAGAAGAAGGCGAAATAGGATGCTCAACATATAAAGGGATGATGGTTCTTGGACTAAGAGTGAGGAGGAGCTGGGAAAGGAAGTGGCCGAATACTATAGAGTCCATTTTGCTAGTTCTGGTTGTGAGGGTCTGGGTGAGATTCTAAATGGTATACCTACCACTATCACTACTGAGATGAATGCAAGGCTAACTCAGGAAGTAGAGGAGAGGGAAATTAAATCTGCTCTTTTTTCCATGAATCCAAATAAGGCACCAGGCCAAGATGGCATGAATCCTTTGTTCTTCCAAAAATTTTGGCACGTTGTGAAATCTGATTTAATTGCTGCCATTAGGCATTTCTTTCGTTCTAGCAACATGCCTAAGTCTTGGAATCACACTGTCATCTCCCTCATCCCTAAAATCCAGAATCCTACCAACTTGAAGAGCTATAGGCCTATTAGTCTCTGTAATGTTGTTTACAAAGTGATTTCTAAAATTCTGGCCAATAGACTCAAGAATGTTTTAAATCACTGCATTAGCAAAACTCAGGCAGCTTTCATCCCAGGCAGACAAATTCTTGACAATGTCATTCTATCTCATGAATATTTGCATTACATGAACAATAAGAGACAAGGACAGAATGGACTTATGGCTGTGAAGCTAGATATGTCAAAGGCCTACGATAGAGTGGAGTGGAAATTCCTTGATGCCATGATGGAAAAAATGGGCTACTGCACAGTATGGAGGAAGTGGATTTGGAGCTGCCTCTCCTCAGTTACCTACTCTTTCAATATTAATGGAGTACCACAAGAATTTGTAACTCCAGAAAGAGGAATAAGACAAGGTGACCCACTGTCACCTTATCTTTTCCTCTTGTGCTCAGAAGGTTTCTCCAATTTACTGAAGCAGGCTGAAGGAGATAAAAGGATCACAGGGGTGAAGATATGCAGAAGTGGGCCAAGATTGACTCATTTATTCTTTGCTGACGATTCTTTGATTTTCTGTAATGCTGACAAAGAGGAAGCAAGTGAACTTGTTCAAATTCTGAGGAAGTATGAGAAGGGGTCTGGTCAATCCATAAATCTGGAAAAGTCCTCAGTTTTCTTCAGTCGCAATGTCAGTCATCAGAGGAAAGGGGAAGTGAGACAAAGCCTTGGCACAATCCAGGTGGCTACTCAAGGATAATATCTGGGGCTCCCTATGGTGATAACTAGATCAAAACAGCAAGTTTTTGGTTTTATTAAGGACAGTATCAGCAAGAGAATGAAGAGCTGGAAGAACAAGCTGCTCAGCCAAGGAGGGAAGGAAGTCTTATTGAAGGCAGTTTCTATGGCAATGCCAGTGTATACAATGTCCTGCTTTAAACTCCCAAACACATTGTGCAAAGAAGTGACCTCCATTTTTGCTAAGTATTGGTGGGGAGAAGCCGAAGGGAGAGATAAGATGCACTGGTGCTCGTGGGGAAGAATGGCTATGGAGAAAAAAGAGGGAGGTTTAGACTTCAAGGACTTACAGAAGTTTAACAAAGCCTTGTTGGCTAAACAGGTTTGGAGGCTGATTACCAAACCAAATCTCTTAGTCAGCAAGGTTTTGAGGGTAAAGTATTTCCATAGGGACTCTATCTTCAAGTGCAAAGTCCCAAAGTGTGCTTCATGGATCTGGCAAAGTCTGATGAACGTAAGAGATTTGGTGCAAAAGGGAACTAGAAAGAGGATAGGCAATGGCAAGACAACAAACATTTAGGAGGACATTTGGATCCCTGGTAATGAGGATGGGAAAGTCACTTCTGCAATGCCTCAGAACTGCAATATCAGAAAAGTGGATGAGTTGATCAGTGGTTTTAGGTGGAATAAACCATTAGTGCTTAGAACCTTCAACCAGAAAGATGCGGTGGAAATCTTGGATATCCCTATCAGTATCTCTGGTAGGGAAGACAGTAACTATTGGGTACATAGTGGTCATGGCAGCTACACGGTCAACTCAGGATACAAGGTACTGTGTAGAGAGAAAACTCAATCCAGGGGAAGAAGAGAAAACGAAGCAGAAACAAGTTTAGCAAATTCCAAGGGGAAACAATGGAAGTGGCTGTGGAAACTGAAGCTAAAAAGCAAGTTAAAACATTTCA